TTAAGCTCTTTACTATCATCCTCGCTGTTATTCTCACTAATATTAACTTCAAAATTATCGCTTTGGTCTAAAACTTCAGTTGGTTTCACCTAAAGTACATCCCTTACTTCTAAACAGATTACATGGGCATACCAAATGTAATGTTGTGGATTGATTAAACGGCCAAATTTAATGCATCATCTGTAGTTGTACTAGCAACATCATCATTAAATTCCAATTTGAATTCACTCAACTTTTCACTTATTATCTCAGCAGCTTTTTCAGATGGCATACTCCCAAAAATACATGAAAAATACATGCAAGTCCAAGATTATAAAGGCTTCCGTTTGTTTTGCTTCTGCACATTAATATTTATATAAAACGACACGTTTTAATTGATGACATCAACAGTTAAACTTAATCTGAAATTGCTTTTAAGTCTTTTAATTCAGCTGTTAATTGAATCTTAATGCCTTTAGCATGATCCAGTAAAATACTTTTAATGGAAATTTAACTAGAAAATATTTTTTGTTCTTTAGCTAAAGTAAATTTTTGTAGCCTCTTACTTTTAGCAACAGTGTTAAATGAAAGTCTATCAATTTCAATGAGATCTGTTTGTATATTGGCAATAGTATCTTTTACTTGTACAAAATTTCTGATATCTTTTTGGGATGAAATTTGAACGGTTTTTGTAGGATGTAATAATGGCAATTCTATTTTATGGTTAACATTAAGATACTTTGGATAACACTTGTGCAGCTTCCTTTAAATGTTACAATGGCATTACAGTTTTGCATTGAGCTGTTTCATTTATTTTACACTATAAGAAATGCTCCCAAACAGGGGCATTGCTTTTAAATTCTTGGAAAGTCACTTTAAAATTATTTTTCTAAAAAGCAACAGTTTCAAACAATCCATCCAGTCGGCATAACGCCACTCCGTATTAAAAAGTGTTGTTTTTAAATTAACCATCTTGAATTGGGGGAAAACAAACTAAAAAGTCACTAGCGGTTTGTTGAGTTAATTTTCAAAAAAAAAAAAAAAATTGTTGTGTAGTAGGTTTCACTAACAATATTTTTAAAAATCTAGAATTTAAGTCTTCCTAAAGATGAAGTACTTCGAAGAAAGTGGGTGAATAAGATAAAGCGAGCTGTAGAGAGTAGTGCATTTAGCAACCAATGGTCTCCTAAATCTTTTAATGTTTATGTTTGTTCAGCACACTTTAATACTGATGGGTTTTTTAAATTTACATCTTAATTTAGTATTTGTAAATACCCTAAAATTTAGTATTTGTAAATACCTTTAATTAATCAAAGTAATATGTAGACAGCTATGAAAGGCACCATTTTATTTAAACAAAGCTTTGTAAAGCATATAAAAATATAGTAAAACCACCTAAAAGACTTATGTTTTGGTGACATTTTCCAATGTTCCTTTTAATTAGCTTTCAAAGTGATTGTAGGACATAAATTTATTGTTAAATAACGTTTTCTTGACTTTGCGTATAAGAAAGAATAGTATGTTTTCCCCCAATTCAAAGTGTTACTTTTGATTTCGCGATATAGTCACGTGGTTTTGATGGATAAATGTATAGGCTATAATGGTATCCAACATCAACATTATAAAAATTATATGTAAAAAAAACCAGGAACCGAATAATAGAACCAAATATAGAACCGGATCCGGATCTCAAATAATTGGTACAGGTACCCGGATATTCGGTTCCGGATCATGGATCCGACTATGCTCTAATGACCATATATGACATAACTTTTATAAAAAAAGTTAGTGTTTTATTTATACTGTAAATATTAAAACGGAAAGGTACCAAAAGCATTTCGCGTCACTCCAACTAATTCAAAACACAGCTCAAAAAAATATTTTAAATTAGATTACAATTATTTTTTTAACAATTAACATAGGCTAGGATCTGAAAGAAGATTACAAGATCTTGTCGTCAGAACCTTATAAAATACAAGCAAGCAAAATAAAGACAAGTATAACATACAAAAAATAAAGTAAAATTAAAAAATAAAAAGTAATAAAATCCAAGTCAAATAACAATTTTCAAAATATCAGAAGTATCTAAGTATACTATCAAGTGAAAAAAATACATTTTTTAAGATAGAGCTTGAAAAGATAAAAGGAAGTTGGTTGATCGAGATTTCGCAGAACAATATTATTCCATAGGTGGGGTCCACGATAAGCAATGCAAAATTGATTAAATTTTGTGTGACAAAACGGCTCATTTTAAAAATTTATATTTCTCATATCGTATTTGTTGTTAAGTTTAAGTTGGAAAATATTATTAAAAGCGGTAGAGGATAAATTATTTCTCCATAAATATACAAAACATAAAACTTTAAATACATTGAGCTCAAATAAATTTAGTAATCTCATTTCAGTAAAAATAGGTTTTGTATGTGTAAAACGATCAGCATAGCTAATTATGCAAATCGCACGTTTTTGACGACGATAAAGAAGTTTTAATTTACTTTTAACAGTACTCCCCCAAGCAGTGTTTGCATAGTTTATGTAACTGTGGATAAAAGAGTAATAAAGTAGGCTTAAGCAATTTTTATTAAGGTAGTTGCGAGCTTTATAAAGAATCAAAAGTTTTTTGAAATTTTAGTAGTAACATAATTAATATGTTGATTTCATGAGATGTTTTCATCAAGATAAACGCCTAAGAGTTTTGTAACGGAATCATTTTTTATTTCAATTTCGTTTATATAAATTGTGCCAAGTTTGTTGGTAATAATCGATTTTTTGCATACGAATGGAATAGAGTCCATTTGGTTTTATTAATATTTAAAGTTAGCTTATTACATTTAAACCAGTTTAATATAACTTTATTCATAGTGGTAAAGAGTTCATATATATTACTGCTTGAGAGAAATAGGTTGGTATCATCTGCGTACATGATACTTATTAGATTGGAAGCTTTATTCAAATCATTTATATATATCAGGAAAAGTAGGGGTCCGAGGATTGAGCCTTGAGAAATACGGCATACGATATCAAGATAATTATTTTGATAACCATTGTTACTAATTACAAATTGTTTTCTTTTTGTTAAGTAGCTTCTAAACCATTTTAAAGCAGTACTTTTAATTCCATAATATTTTCATAAGTTTTCGCAGTAAAATATAGTGATCTACAGTGTCGAAAGCTTTTGATAGGTCAATGAAGATACCTAACAAGTACTGTGATTTTTTAAAAGATTTCGAGGTTTCATGCACAAACTGGATTATTGTATGCTCCGTTGAGTTACCTCTTTTAAAGCCGAATTGTTTGTTATATGATAAGTCATTTTTGTTGAGATGTTTGTATATTCTATTAGACATTATTCTTTCTAAAATTTTTGAAAATACCGAAAGAACAGAGATGGGACGATAGTTGCTAATATTCAATCTGTCACCCTCTTTAAAAATAGGAGTAATTTTAGCAACTTTTAATTGTTCTGGAAGTAAAAGAAGCTTTAAAAAGAACATGTTTTAAGATGCTTTAAGAAGAACATGTTTTAATATAATTGTAATGATGAAATTACCCAAACCTGTAAGATGAAATACCCAAACCTGTAAAAGAAATATATGAACCGCAAACAACCGATAAATTTATAACTCAAATTTGACTTTAATTAAAAAGTACTATGATGCAGTTTTAACGTTAGAAATAATTAAAAAAATACGAACATACATTTGTTAAAAAGATAACGAATTTGACATAATAAGTTTAAACTTTTATCAATATTTAAATACTGGTAGAAGTTTAAATTTATATATATATATATATATATATATATATATATATATATATATATATATATATATATATATATATATATATATATATATATATATATATATATATATATATATATATATATATATATATATATATATATATATATTCTGAAATAAAAATAAAATAAAAGTTTACATTTCATGGTTGCTTACTAATAGTACGCAGTGGCGGATTAAGAATTCTTATGGCCCAGGGAAATTTTTGGAGGCCTTTTTGAGGGCCATAGTCTAAAAATTACTAAATGACTTTAAAAAAAAAATTTGCTGGGCCTGGGGCTAAGCCCCCTAGCCCCCCTCCTTCCTTGATCTGGCACTGATAGTACGAGTACTAAGGTAAACACCAAATAATAAAATTACGAGTACGAGTACTAATCTAAGGTAAACACCAAATAATAAAATAATAAAATTTTCTAAACATCAGCAATTAATAAAAAAGTTCAGATAATAAATTTAAATTTTTATCAGTATTTGTTTATTGGTGAATATTTAAATTCATAATCTGAAATTAATAATAAATTATTGATTTTTATTTTTGTATTTCGATAACAAGTACCATATGGTAGACGCCCTAGATACTGCGTGCTGATATATATTTGAAGCTTATATTATTTTAAATCTTGTTGTTTAAGTTTTAGAAAGAAGATTTAACAAACTAATGAATAAATTGCTGCAATATTGTTTAAGTAGAAGATGAAATACCCAAACCTATAAAAGAAATATATGAACCACAAACAAATTAAGAGCGGATGTGAAAAAGTATTTATATAACCATTACTGAACTCACACCCGCTATTTGTGATTTTCTCACATCCGTTGAGATATTTATTAAATGAAATTATTGAGCATTAAAATTAACGGATCAACCAACCACAAAAAGTAAACCATAATTTTCCATGTTAGAACAATTTTTACCGAAAGTAGACACATTTTAAATTAGACAGGACTTTGTACTTATTTGCACTTCATTAAAAGAGTACTGATAGTTTTGCGTAATTTTTGTGTCTCGATCATGCACCGATTTCGCAAAAAATTAAATAATTAGTGTGCTGAAATAACAACTACCTAATTCTGGATCCTCTGGTCTACATCATATTGTTATTTTCAATTCTTACATATAAATTTTTATTACTAAAAAAAAATGTACTAATGTAATTTTTTTTTGTATATATCATATTTTAATATTGTAATTTTAAATTTTTGTTATATAAAAAATAGAATGGGATTAACATCAAGCGTTGAAGAAAAAAAAGAAACAAAACAGGTAAAAAATTTGCAATTTTTAATTTTAAAGCTATAAAACTCTAAAATAAATTATCTAATAAGTACAAATAAAGCGCTAACGAGTGAAGTGTTAAGTTAAGGTAATATCTTTATACCTTGATAAAACAAGGTATGCAGGCAAGCTTTGTTTATTCAAAATATACGATAATATTAATTTTGTAGTTACGCCTAAGTAATCTTTACCCAGTGACAGTTAAGTTTTTTTTTTCTAATTTCATTACTTTTATCAGCATTCGTATTTGATCTTTATTATTCTGGTTTTTTCAAAATAATTTTAGTCATGTGTTTTTAGCATAATAAATTTTTAAACCTATTATTACAGAAAAGTTGCACTCCTAAAAGTGTAGTTGATAAACAAGACTTACAACAGACATCTATACACCAAGAAAACTCTGAATCAGTAATAATACAAAATATACCAGATAAAGAATCAAAGGATTTTTGTGATACAGCCAAAGAAAATAAAAAAAATGACAAAATTGAATTAATTTACAAAAAAGAAGATAAAGTTAATGAAGCATCAAGTAATCTACCATGTACTGCAACATCAGTTGTACCGTGTAGTTTACCATGTAATGGCAATGAATCAATTTCATCAAAACTAGAAAATGATATTGATGTTGTGAGAAAAGTCCCACTAGTTACCACTGAAAAAACAATTTTAGAAGGTATTTTTTTTTTGCTTTAGTGCATTTTTATATTATAGTTTGTAGTTTTTAGACTGAATAGCAAGTCTGCTTCAAGAAGCTACATATAATATTTTTAATACAAGAAGAAAAAAAAACAAAGAATGATAAATGAAACGATTGCTGCCCCATCCCAAACCCTCAGTCGATGTAGAAGCACTCCACTGCGAATCAGGCTATTTGTCAGTTGATGTATGTACTGAAGACCCTAGCAGCAGGCTATTTTAGTATGACGTCAGATTGCTTACCTTAGTATGCAATACTATTTGTATATATATATATATATATATATATATATATATATATATATATATATATATATATATATATATATATATATATATATATATATATATATATATACAAATAGTATTGCATACTAAGGTAAGCAATCTGACATCAAAATTCTATCAAATGGTTATATAATGATATCAAAAAGGCAGCTAATCAAAAATAAAATAATTATATTTCCTTATGAAATCTGCTTTAAAATCATCTGACCATAAAAAATAACTTTCAACTGATTACAATAGAAAAGCAAGAGAATTGAAAAAATTAGTAAAAAATGCCCATATTAAACATGAAAAATAAATAATTAATAAAAGTAAATTGAATTCAAAATTACCATGCAAATATATAAATAATCAAAAATAATATAAAAATAAAATTATATCATTAATCGATGCTGATGGCATAAATTTAACATCAAACGTAATATAGCTAACTGTCTAAATAAACAATTTTACGAAGCATTCACCAAACCAACTGATTAAGAAAATGATTTAACAATAGGTTTATCACCAAGAACAGTTAAAAAATATACTTTGAATCTATCTGTTCTATTTTCACCATTAAATGTTAAAACAAAACTTGACTTATTAGATGAAAACAAAGCAGCTGGAATCGATAATATTTCTCCTTATATTTTAAAAAACTGCAGTTCTGCTCTTAGCCTGACATTTAGTTTATTATTTATCAAAGCATACAACACTAGAATTACACCACAACTATAGAAACAAATAAATATCACACCGATTCCAAAAAAAGGAAAGAAAAATGATCCAACAAATTATCGACCTATCTCATCATCATCAGTTATAAGTAAAATCATGCAAAAACTAATAAAAGATGACATAAGTTACTTAAACCTACATAACTTAATAGCTAAAGAACAACATGGATTCATAACAGGTAAATCAGTAATCACAAATTTACTCGAATCCAATAAATGTAATAACCGATGCTTTAAACAGTGGATTTTATGCTTTAGTAGTTTACCTTGACTTTGCTAAAGCATTTGATACAGTAGATTGTAAACTACTAATTGCTAAAATAAAACTTATGGTTTTGACAAAAAAATTTTAAATTGGCTACACAACTTTCTCTCAAACAGGCATCGAAGGGTTCTAATTAATAATTAAGTATCTAAATGGCTCCCAGTATTAAGTGGTGTACCACAAGGCAAAGTTTTATTTCCACTTCTATTTTTTTTTTTTTTTTTTTTTTTTTTAACATCTTCACTTCCAACAAGGCTGCAAGCAACCACTATAAGAGTTGGAAGTTACTGGAAGAGAAAAGACTAAATCTGTAGAGCAAGATGACGATTGACTAATGACTTAAAAGATTGCAAGTTATATGAATCAGGAGAGCAAGATGAAGGAAGCGAATTCCAAAAAACTGATGTTCGAGGAAAAAAACTAGAAGAATAAGAGTTTTTGAAGCACTTAGGAACAGTCACAGAAAAAGGATGAGACTTAATTGAATGGCGAGTAACACGAGAATGAATTTTAGTAGATGGCACAAGGGACGCTAGCTCTTTAGAGCAGTACCCATTATAGTATTTGTAGAAAAGAGAAAGAGAAGCAACATTACGACGATGTGACAAAGGTTGGAGATTGGCTGCCAGAGCAGGTCCAACTATGTTTACAATTCGTTTTTGCACCTTGTCTAAAAGAGAAAGAGCATCATTAGAAGATCCGCCCCAGATGTGGCAACAGTATTCCATACAGGGACGGATTTGAGATTTATAGAGATAGAGAATAGAATCTGGAGTAAGAAAGTGTCGAGCTCGATAAAGAGATGCAACCTTAGCAGATGCTAATTTTGCAATGGATTTGATATACGGTTTAAAAGAAAGATCAGAAGTAAGAGTAAATCCTAGAAGATGAATGGTAGATGACTCATCTAGTACATTACCATTCATAAATATAGGAAGATCTAAATTATTACGATAACGATTGGCCGAATAAAATTAAGTTTTATCTGAATTAAAGTTCACTGCCACTGTGAGCCCCATGCTGTAGCAGAAGTGAGATCCTTTTCAAGCTCAGATACCCCCTCCAAGCAATCAGAGAGTGTAGGCTTCTTATCATGACAAGAGTAAATGGTAGTGTCATCGGCGAATAATGCCACCTTAGATGTGAGAATATCTGGAAGATCGTTAATGTAAATTAAAAAGAGTATAGGGCCAAGGATTGAACCTTGAGGAACCCCTGAAGTTACAGGATGTGAAGAAGAGTGTTGTCCATCGAGGACAACTTTTATACTACGATTGGAAAGAAAGGACTCAATAATCTTAAAGACGTTACCAGCTACACCATAAGAAGAAAGCTTATGGAGAAGACCAGCATGCCAAACTTTATCAAAAGCTTTAGAAATGTCAAGTGCGATAGCCTTAACCTCTCCACCTCTATCTAATGCACGGTAAAACCTATCGGTTATTACTGTTAGCACATCAGCTGTAGAACGAGAAGACCGAAATCCATATTGATGATCAGAAAGTAAGTTATTTGATTCAAGATGAGAGATTAAGTGTTTGTTGATTAAAGATTCAAAAACCTTGCTTATGACAGGAAGAAGACTAATGGGACGGTAGTTAGATGAATCAGATCGCTCTCCGGAATTTTTGAAAATAGGGATAACAGATGCTGCTTTCCAGCATGATGGAAAACAAGACTCTGATAAGCACTTGTTAAATAGTTTAGAGAGTATGGATGAAAGCTCAGGAGAACACCTCTGCAAGACTACAACAGGAATGTTGTCAGGACCACAAGCTGTTGAAGAGTCTAAGCAGGAAATTACTTTAGATACAGAAGCTGAAGTGATGCGAATGTCAACAAGGGATCAACCTGTTTGACGGCTATGTCAGGTAAAACGCAACTAGTGGAATCAAGAGATGATATTGATGAAAAGTTCTTAGCAAACAATTCAGCTTTGTCTTTAGGTGAGGTGACAAAGTCTGAACCATACAAGAGAGAAGGAATAACAGATTTGCCCTTATTATTGATACTGTTAAAGATTCTCCAGAAGTCTCGAGAGCCTAATTTTTGTGATGAGATACGAGATTTAATGACCTGGGAATAGCGAGCTTTGGCGTCAGACAAAACCTTTTTACAATGGTTTCTGGCGATAGTGAGCAGATGTCTGTTTTCTGGAGAATTGTTTTGCTGATAGATATGGAAGTAACAGTTTCGATTAGAAATTGCTGCAGCGCAATGTGAGGAAAACCAAGGAGAAGAGTGAGGCTTGACCTGGAATCGTCGAGAGGGAATAAAAGATTCCATGCCAGCCTGAATCCACGAAGTTATGTAAGAAGCACATTTGTCAGCAGGAAGACGAAAGATTTCTACCAAGGGCCATCACGAAGAAAATCACGGAAAGAGTCCCAGTCAGCTTTAAGGTAGTTGTAAGATGTACGATGATAGGGGGATTCTGATGGTAAAGAAGAATGAGATAATAGTTTTAGAGAGACCAAACCATGATCAGACGCACTTAAGGGTGAGTGTGAAGAAAGTGAGCACTGACTAGGATCAGAAACAAGACATAAGTCGAGTAGAGAAGGTAAATGATTAGAGTTGTCTGGAAAACGAGTTGGAAAGTTGACTATTTGAGTTAGAGATTGAGAAAGGCAAAAGTTGAGGGCCTTAACGCCAGCAGAGTCACTGACACTAGAGCCAAGCCAATCGGTGTGATGGGCATTAAAGTCACCAACAACGACGATATTGGCCGATGGATAAAGAGAGAGGGCTTGGTCAATTTGATCAGAAATAACATCAAGAATAGTGCAATCTTGGGATGAAGGAGAGCGATATAGAACAAAGAGAAAGGCGATAGAGTGAAGTTGTGCTAAACGAAAGCACATAAATGAATAGTCTGTAGATTCAAACCTAGTTTCACGACAAATGGGTGAGTTCTTACGAATGTAGATGCCCAGGCCAAGCATGTGATTATTGGAGTCTTTACGAATTAAAGGAAGATAACCATCAACACTAAGATCACAAGATGGGACAGCCGAACTCAAATTAGTCTCACAAAGAGCAAGTAGGTCTGGTGAACTTTGCAAGAGATAAGACTCAACAGAAGAAAAGTTACTTCGAAGACCACGAATATTAGTAAATGATAGGTTTAGAGAACTTGGTGATGACGATGGTTTTTTGTGTTTTTTAGTTTTAGGTACTTTAGTCATTTTAAATTTATAAAGAACTTGACTCAAGTATAGATAGTACTCAGTACACTATTCAACAACTAAGCAATAGCCTCATTACTATTAATAAATCCTAAGCCGTAACAAAGGGCTCCAAATGTGGCCTCTGCAATGCACACCAAAAGTACAAACAGGGACACCATCCATGCGCAACATGGCACTGTTAGTACTCTGATATTTTTCGGCTGTTGATGGAATCAGCCTCTCTGAGAGCTACCACAGAGTTCAGGAAACCTGACTACCAGCCGGCCTCAGAACCATAAAACTGAGTTTTTGAGCTGTACCCTCATAAGGAAATAATAGAATGAGTTGCCCAGTCATAAAAATAGAGACACAAGCAATACCCACGCATTGAGTCAAGAAGATCCAGCGTTCAACATCCTAAACTGGAAACAATGTATTAAAAATACATCTGCGCCAGCCTAATAGATGAGGAAGGGGTGCGAGGCTGGTCAACAGATAGAATCTGTTTACCCGTTAAGTCTTTGCCTAGGAGGCC